TGATTACCGAAAGTGATGGTAAACCAAACGTTAACAGATTGATCTTTGATTATTTCACAAATAGGAGGCACTTTACATGTCTCAACGGCAAAAAGTCCTCCACTCGCCCAGTTTCTTCTGGTGTTCTGCAAGGTGCAACATTTTCCCCATTTTTCATTTCTATGCCCGTCAAACAATTTCCCATTCCTCTTGTATGCATTGGCTGTAACTAAGTTGATGACATTGTTATAGGTTTCAAAGCATCCATCCCTGAAGAGGCCTCAGAAATTCAAAGTAAATTAAACGACGTTGTTACTTGGTCCTTGTCCCATTCCCTCTCATTGAATGCCTCTAAATGTCAGAATGTTGTTTTTTCCCTCTTGGCCGATGTACCATATTCAGCCCTCGCAGATAGGTTCCCCACCCTCTCTGCCCATCAACAACCCGTACCAAAATCAACAGTAGTGAAATATCTTGGCGTCACTCTATCACACAATTTATCATGGTCACTGCATATTCAAAACACGTTCTGTAAAGTTAGAAAACTTTCATATTTCTCATTCCAATTGAGAATTCTTTCTGTTCCCCACAAGCTGGTTGTTAGATTTGTGAATGTATGCGTGCTACCTCACTGGTTGTATTGCTCCCCAGTGATTTTTCTCGGTATGTTGAAGAAAGACCTTTATTTACTGGCGAGATCTCTGAAACAGATCTCTAAATGTAGTGGCATTGTCAGGGATAAACTGGCCGATTCTATCATTGACAGACACCAACAAGCATGCGAAGGTTTCACCGCCAAACTGCTCTCAGACACTCTCCATCCATTACAAAATGAATTTTCAATTGCTGTATCTACATCATCCACACGCTCAAGATTTAAACTTTTATTTGCAAGTAGCTCTGCTTATGGAATTCTGTTCTGCCATATCTAGCACGTTTACTTATAGACAAGGACAAAATTTCCACAGAATTGCGCAAATACTTGTTTCATTGGCAAACACCCCATGGCTTTCAGTTTCATTATGTAATGATTTTGTAAATTTGAATCCACAACTATGGTGTAATTGCTGAAAATACACCCATCCGGGTGCATAAAGCTACTTCTGACTGAACTTGACTTGAATCCCTCAGAACACATTGAGAACAACAGCGTGGCGAACCAGCTCGTTTTCATATATTCGTAAACATGCCATTACATAACATTAAATATGACTAACAATAAGAAACGAAACAGGGGATGAGAAATTCGAGTCCTAATGATTCATCTGTGGCTCCAATCATGCGTGCGTGTGTTTTTGTGAAATTGATTACAGTATCAAAGGTTCAAGTGATGGCACACGTGTTGAAGTGGCTGAAGTGGGCCAGGGGAGATTAAGTGCTTGCNGTTCTGCCATATCTAGCACGTTTACTTATAGACAAGGACAAAATTTCCACAGAATTGCGCAACTTGCTTCATTGACAAACACACCTTATTGCTTTCAGTTTCATTATATAATGATTTTGTAAATTTGAATCCACAAATATGGTGTAATTGCTGAAAATGCACCCATCCGAGTGCATAAAGCTACTACTGACTTGACTTGGCTTATTCGAATGTTTGGAGGACGCGCAAAGTGCACTTGATAGACTAACAAGTGCTGTTGCCACATTCGGTGTGGCTTTTTGGTTGTCTTTACTTATCATGTCAGAATGCTTGAAACCGTATGTATGCAGATGTCGATTGCTTACTCTCTGTTGGCCATAGAGGTTCACCTTCTTCCCCCTCCCTCAAAATAAGTCCAATCCCTGCCCACCTTAAATTTTACCACCAATCTTGTATGCATTGCGAGTTTGGCAGTGATCAGCGAAATTCTACTCTCTGTATGCTGTATGATGATGATGATGATGCTCATACCTCACATGTTCCTGATTTGCTGAATGGTTTTTGTTTAAAGTTTATTCTCAGGCTCTACCTTAGACCTCTCTTTCGTCAACCTCACCGCCATCAGCTAGGGATAAGTGGTTGAGGAACATGATACCCACGATACAGCTCTTTCTATCGATCCAGAGAAAAATGAACGTGCTTGAAAGCCATTACATAAGTGTGATTGGCAACCACAGCTCATACATTGTTTAATACCCCGTCAATCGCTTGAAATGGCTGAAGGTGGGATTTAGTGAGAATTCCAGTACTAGCATGCTGCAATTAACGACTTACCGGACGGACTGTTGGTCAGTGTTTGAGGGACAAGAAACTACGAACCCCGAGTCCAATCCCAGACAACAACAAGTCTGTAATCTACGTGTGATGTGGGAACGAATATTATGCAAACCAAACAGCCTACCTCAGCTTTGGGACAATCCGGCTTCAACTGTTTGAGCCAGGCGCACAACATCAAACGGTAAAGTTCACGAAACGATCAACAAATAGGATCAAACGATTGTGTTTGTGTGGTAAGAATCACCATTTAAAGTAATTCAATTGCATAAGGTAGGCGCTGATCAACACAGAGGGGGGGGGATGATTCAGTTTCATGATAAAAACGAACAAGGTATGACGATAATTGAAGCGTGTCAGCAAGGTGCACGGCTATCGTCTGATCAAAATTAATCAGTCAAAGGAATACTGAACAGCACTACACCAAGGTACAGCATGCCATTGAGGATAAGCAAAACCAGCGATTGGATATCCAGGTGGCACGAAAATTCACATAAGCGAGATGGCATCGGGCGGAAAAGAATACGGTTGCGGACAGTGTGTGGATCGAGAAATAACATCAAAAAGGTCGGTCAGATTTGAGGGAATATCTTAGAATGAATGTATTTGACAGATCATAATGTAGTGTGAAACGTCTGGTCTGATTCATTTATCAAAAAATTGGAAATGCCTGCTGCAAATGTTAACTAAGTGTGGGATTCGCTTACAGGGCCCCTTTTTTTGTCTTTGCACAAGGGAGACCAATCCTGCAACCTATTGATCAGCTCTTGCCGACATTCTGCGGTTATCCGTCCGCAATTCAGTGATTGTGGTCGCAGGAAATCATAAGTATACGTTTTGTCTCATCACATCGTTTCAGGTGGTGGCCCTCGTGGACGAGGATCTGTGCATCAACTGCGGAAAGTGTTACATGTCGTGCAATGATTCCGGCTACCAAGCGATCACATTTGACTCACGCAAACATTTGCCGCACGTCACTGACGACTGCACCGGCTGTGGTTTGTGTTTATCAGTATGCCCGATTGTTGACTGCATCAAGATGATTCCTCGTAAAACCCCTTATGTGCCTGATCGTGGTCAAAAACCCTAGTCAGACGAAGTCCATCAGTAAAGCTTGCAGTCACTAAAATGTTTAACTAACACAAGCGCCAGAAAAAGCATAGCAGAGTCCTAATTTACTTCTAATTTAATCGTGACATATATTTCTGATTATTACTTATTCAATTTACTTGATTTTTTTTATAATCTCAGTTATTTGTTGTTTCTGATTTTTGGTACGCAAAACTTTAATAAAAATCTCCTTGTTTTATGCAACACCACAGATCCGATTAACAGTCAACGTCTTCCTGAAATCATTTTTTTTTATTTCATCCGGCTTGGGCGTGAGTTGACTTTGTAGACAGCCCTAGTAACGGCTGTCTAAGCAAAATTATCAGTAGCAACGTCCCCTAAGGTCGTAATCTATATCAGGAGCCGTTGACGGATTTGAGATTCATTCGATCCACGTTTTTATTTGACTACCATGCTGGAAACTTTAACCATTATAGGGCTTTTTTTAGAAAACTCGAAACTATGAACTAAAAAAACCCGTCCCCGATCTACGTGAGATGATTTCCTTGTAAAAACGGTAATAGCCTTCATAAGTATTCCTAACGTCATCTAATTTCACCATTTGCTACTGTTATCCCGCAGCAGGTGAGAAGTGCATCGAAAGCATCACTGATCAAAGATCTCGGGTTTTCGGAATCTTCAGCCTCTCGCCGATACCACAGATGCACATCAGCCCCAAACAGATAGCAGCATTCAAGATGCGTTGTTTGGTGAAGAAGCTGATTTTATTGTAAGAACAATTGTCTGGAGTTGCAAAGGAGCGTTTATTGTATTGTCTAAACAACCTAATGATGGAGTCATATCGTAGGTAACAAGTGCTTAAAAACTCCGCTTTCATTCGGATTCTTAACAACTCCAATAAGACTGTGGGATCTTCTTCCAGCCAGGTGATCATTTGGTCGATGTGTGTCATTTAAATTCTTTTTCCTTCCTCCGCCTTTCGGTTGACGTTCGTACTGCAGTTCCTTGGCCTTAATCCAGTTGCAAGCGATCTCTCGCAACAACACGCCAATCCTATCCCTCTTCGAAAGCCTGAACAATTCGCTTGCGCACCGCGCTGTCAGCACATTTGTACCGGCCTCGAAGCGTGATGGAAAGGTGAATGGAAGTGAATCAAACAAAATATCTTATACCACACCTGCATAGGTGACTGAAGGATCGTCAATGTCCAAGCGAAGACTTTGTTTACGCATGCCCCATGTAATGAAACGTGCATCAGGTCGACTGTGTTCTGTTTCGTTCAGTTCTGTGAGCTGAGCCAGGAATGAGCGAGCTACACATAAGGTGTAACTGGTTTTGGTTGCTAGGCCATTGATGACAGACAGCCCATTCACCTATGTTCACCTCAAGAGCTCCAACCTCTGCCACTGAACCAAAATTTTCATTCAAATAGGCCCATGATTTTCGTACATCGCCCAAAACTGGACCCTGGTCGTAGTTACTGTGACCAGCTTTGATTATTGAGCTATCGTCAATGCTAGAGCCGTAGTGGGCACGAGACAGTGTGTATCGAGTGGCGTCCAGCATGGCTTCATCAACCCGCCAATTCGACATCCGTCACGGAGCTCGACAAGATTTGCGACTGAGGTCGGCCTCATTTCAGCACAGAAAGAGCGTGGGAAGACAGGTGGTCAATCCGGGGTGGAAAAAATGTATGATCAATTGACCAATGAGATGCACTGAACGGAAGCGGATTCAACCACAGCGTTTCTTTCTCAATTCTAAGTGATGGTTTCTCAATTCGAAATGACAGTTTCGCAAATGAAAATTATAGTTTCTCAAATCTATCTTAAAGTGGTATATAATGGGGTAAATATCTCACCGGAAATCTGTTTCGGTGTTATGTCTCGTCAAAACTATCACCGAACATGGGCCCACGATGCATATCCGAACTATCCCAGTTAAAAGACAGTTCAAACAGTGCAAGCCCTTAGTGATAGTTCCCGCCACACATGCGATGAGCAAGGGAAAGACGTGCGGTATTTATGGATCGGATCACAGTCTAGACATACTTCCGGAATGGGGTAACGTGGGCGGCGATGGAGAGAATGCACAAATCAGGTTACCGTACTCTGCCCGTTACCTTGACGCATCCAGTACAATCGAGTAGACATCGTCGCATTCACACGGTGGCGACTGGTCCCAATCCATTTCGTATTCATGCCGTGACTGCGACCGTTATAGCAATTAAAGACCCTAGACTAAGCTAAGCTAAGTGGTGTTCTCCAAATCGATCGATCAAGGGCCTGGTGATGCGGTCCACGTAACTTACGCTACACCAGCAAGTAAACTGGTAGGCACAGAAAGCGGTCATCGCCATCCGCAACCTGTCCTTTTATCTGCAATGACAGAATTGATTTGAAAAAGTTGAAAATTCGCAATTCGGTTGAGAAATAAGTATTTCCCATCACACTTCTCAGTCGTCTGCTCATTGTCCTCAAGAACGTTGCCATTGAAAGGTAGTGAAATGTAAACCTCCTTCATGTCCACTGCTGGGTACCTTAGTTTAGCACTGCAGATTCTCATGCAACAAGCGATAATTTCTTCTTAGTATCCCGTTTTTAGGAACGCGGATCTAATTATTGCCAGTTCACCATTTGGTGGGTTGGTA